AGGTTCGAGGGTGATGTTGGGGAGGGGCACCCCCCAGGGTGTCTCGGGAGCAGGTTGTGTGAGGGTGGTGATGTGGGTGCTCAAAATCCCAGGCTGGGGACGGCGACCTCAGGCCTGGCTCTCCGCCCACAGGGACTACAAGTGGCACAGAAGGAGGCCCAGATCCGGCTGCTGGAGGGACGGCTGAGGCAGACAGACATAGCAGGTTCTTCTCAGAACCACCTGCTCCTGGATGCCCTACGAGAGAAGGCGGAGGCGCACCCAGAGCTGCAGGCCCTCATCTACAACGTGCAGCAGGGTATGGTGGCTGCGGGCAAAGGCCTCGAGGCTCCTGGGTTCTCCCAGTGCTCCCTAGCTCCAACCCCTGGGGGGACCCTCCCCTCCCCAGAACTCCCTCAGGAGCCCCAGTCTGATGCCAGTGGATGAGATGTGGGAGGAGGCCACCCCCTCTCCCCTCACTCTGTTGGGGCCTCTCAACCCTCCTCCCTCCTCCCTCCCCAGAGAATGGTTACGCCAGCACGGATGAGGAGATCTCAGAGTTCTCTGAGGGGAGGTGAGTTTCCAAGGCGAGAGGGAGAGGTCAGTTCACAGAGCATGAACCTGGGGCTGGGGGTGGCGGGTTGCCGTAGGGTCCCAGGGCTAAGCCTAGATTTGGGGGCTCTTTGAAACCCACGAGTCTAAGGCTCAGAGAGCCAGGCTCTCAGGATCCTGAACTCCCTCTGCTTCTTCCTTAGCTTCTCCCAGTCATTCACCATGAAAGGTTCCACCAGCCATGATGATTTCAAGTTCAAGGTGAGTACCACGGGAAGGCAGATGGTAGGCTGCAGCAGGGCCAGTCTCCCCACAGCCTGGTCTCCACCTTCCTGTGCCTCTGCCCTCACCTCCCTGCCCTGACCCAGTATTGCCTCCATCTGGGATGGAGGTGCCCTGGCTGGAACTGGGAGGTGCCCAGATATGTAACCGGTTATAACCCATTCTTTTTGAGGTGTGTGGAAGTTGGGAGGAATGGCTGGAGTCACTGCCTAGTGATGTCACCAGAGCCAGAGGCCCTGCTTTCAAAAATCTCCGCATTCCCCACCTAAGACTCTGCCTCATGCTCTGGGTCAAAGACTAAGTCTAGACCTTTAGGTATTCTGCATGCAGATTACTGATCCAAAAGTATGGGAGTCAACACTGGGGTAGTTCACCCGCCAACGAGGGATCAGTTATTAGTCTGAACTAAGAAACAGGATTTATTAAACAGAGAAGGGTGGGGGGGAACAGTGAATTGTGCATAGTTTTTGGATAAACTGATTAGGTGGTGACCAGCAAAGAGGTCAGTCTGAGCATTCTGTGTGTGCAGAATCTGAAGAAGGGCAGTAAAACCCTTTTAGTTGCTTTGGCTTCTCTAGAAGCCTCAAGAGAGGGTCTCTGGGTGCTATTCTCCTGGATCTTCCATCAGTGGTTCTACCACAGGCCAAGAGGCATTATTTCCTTCATTAGAATTCCCCCGGCCCCCCTTTATGTTTGGGCAAGTTGGTTCACCGTAGTCCTTCCATTCCCAGGGTGAGCCCAAGCTGTCTGCCCAAATGAAGGCTGTGTCAGCCGAGTGCCTGGGTCCCCCGCTGGATATCTCCACCAAGAACATCACCAAGTCCCTGGCCTCCCTTGTTGAGATCAAAGAGAATGGAGTGGGCTTCTCCATCCGCGACCCCTACTACCGGGACAAGGTCTCGCGCACCATCAGCCTGCCCACCAGAGGCAGCACTTTGTAAGGAGGGGAGCCGGGGGTGTGGGTCAGGGTGGGCAGGGAGTCAGGTCTGGGCCTCACGGGACCCTTCTGTTCTAGCCCCCGGCAGTCTAGAGGCACGGAGACATCCCCTCTGACCCGAAGGAAGTCGTATGACCGAGGGCAGCCCATCAGGTGAGAGCATGTTTCCGAACCTACACCAGAGTCACGGCCATCCTGGGGTGCATGAGTCGCTGTGATGTTCTACTCTGGAGGTCATCTTGCCTACTTTAATCTGGGCCAGTATCACTAAGTCATTCCACTCCCTCCAGTGATCCCTTCCCCATCTTGTCAGGCATGGGCTCAGGAAACATAATCTCCATAAGCACCTTGAACTGGATGGCTAAGCCCGCTGCCAAAAACTGTTGGCTGATGTGGGCTCAATGTTGGTGGCTTTGTAGTGGCTTAAACTAGTCATCGTGCTGATGTGCTTCAGCTCCTTTTCATGACCAGGGGTCCTTGGGAGGCCTCAGCCCTTTCTAAGTTCTTGTCGTGTGAGAAGAGTGTAGACGTTTAAAGAAAAACCAGGAGATGATTGCAGAACAGTGGACCAGTCTCTAATTGGTCAGTCACACATAGGACCAGGACCCACAGAGCTTCTTCAGATCACCAGATGCCTCCTAGGGTCATCTGGTCCATGCACTTAATTTTCAGAGAGGTTCGATGGCTTTCTCCAGGTCCCACAACTAAGTAGTAACAGAGCAGGGGCTCAAGATGACCTCTTGCCACCTGACCTGGTGGGAGGCAGGAGGACTTGCTCAGGCTACCAGACCTCCCTCCTATCCGAAGCCTGGACAGATGCCCATGCCCGTGGCTTGCGGTGGGTGCCTTTGGTGGGGAGGAGTTGCATAGATATCCGTATACTTGGGACCTCGTAGACCATCACTTCACCCATGAACTGAGAGAACACACTTCAGCTGCAGTCTGAGGGACTTAGGCTGAACTCATGAAGACTCTTCAAAGGAAGGGAGGATTTAGGCCAAACCTGACAACAACTTTCCAAAGAGAGGGATGTTGTGCTATTGGAATGGGGTGGTGCAATGAAGTCTTCGACTCTTCCCTGTTGATACAGTGAATCCTCAGTATTCACGGTACTTATGTTCTTATCAAGCCACTGTGAACACTGAATTAGCAAATACAGAACCACTGCTCCTGGGGAAATATGGGGTTAGGTTCCTGAGAGCTTCTGGTCACATTTCATCAGCCAATCAATACAGAACTTTGCTTTATGTGTGTTTCTGTTTAAAGGTACCTTAGTTAATATATATTGTTGATTCATTAACATTGAACTCGTAGCCAACAGCATCATAACTCACTCCTGGATGAAGCTTTTCTAACACACGTATTTTCTCCATAAGACACAGCACAGCCTTCATGGGCTTAGACACGTGCCAGACAGCCCTTCGGCACTATGCTTTGGGGACGTTTTTTAAACAGTGAATCACCAGTGAAAAGCACAAAAATGCAAAAAACATGACCCTAAATAGACCACAGGAAGGGCAGTTGTTGACAGCATGAGAGCAGGCGGGCAGAGGGTCACCTCATTTGACCTCCACTGGGAACGTGTGCATATGGGGACTTGGATTTTTCGCTGCTCTGCTCAGTGTCTGGGAATGACCCCCAAAGCACTGTGAGAGTTAATTTGGGATTACTAATACACTGTAATGAGCAGGTGAATTCCCAAGTATGGCATCCATGACTAACGACGACGGGCTGTCTCCGAACAGCGTCCGGGAGCTGAATCCGGAGCTGGGCTCTCAGATTGCTGCAGAGCAGGCCCTGCCCTGTGGGCCTTCCAACCCCGGACAGAAGGTGGTGCTAGAAGCACTGTGCGGGTGTGAGCCTGTGGGGGTTTGCTCACTCACAGATGCTGCTCTGTCCCTGCTCACCAGGTCCACGGATGTGGGATTCACGCCGCCCTCGTCCCCTCCTACTCGGCCCCGCAACGACCGGAACGTCTTTTCTCGTCTCACCAGTAATCAGAGCCAAGGCTCAGCACTGGACAAGTAAGAGCCAGGACTGGCCGGGGAGGGTGTGGACGAGGTGGGCTGATCCTTGCCGCAGGCAGGGCTGGGGCAGCCGGGTGCTCCCTAACCACGCTGTCCCAGCCCCTCTGAGAGATGAGGCTCTGAAGCTCCCCTGCGGGCATCTCTGCCCTTTCTGTTCTAACTGTGGACCCTTCCTTCCCCCCAGCATGCTGGGACCTCAGGAGAGGGCAAGAAGGAAGCCACAGGGATGGGGGGCAGGCAGGTGGGGATGTGCATGCAGGTCAGGCCCCCTACAGGGACTCACTAACTGAGCCTTGAATCCTCCTCTGCTGCTTCTTTGACTCTTCGATTTTTCTCTGAAACCCCTTCCTTGAACTTCAGCCACTCCCTCCCTGCCGCAGATGCTCAGATGAGGCCCCAGGGGCCCTTCTGTCCTGGCAGAAAGGGCCCCCCATTGCCTTTGTGCGGCAGGGTCGGCCCAGCTGTAAGTACAGCTCCTGTCAGGCCACTGTGACCACGGAGAGTACAGCGGGGGTTAAGGGCAGTCCCGTGAATTCAGAAGGCACTTCGTTGTGCATCCTGCTTTCGTATATGTGATTCGTGTGGACTGCACATCAGCCATGAGAACTGTCTTCCCTATTTTACAGAAGAGGAAATGAGGCTTAAAGAGGCCCAAGGACATTCATTCACCTAGAAATTGGAGGACTTGGGCCCAGAACCCGGGGCTGCTGACCTGCTCCATCATACGTTCCTAACAGTGGGACTCTGCCTTGGGGGAGGGGGTATCCTGGCCTCCATATGCTCCCCTCCATGCTCCCTACACTCTGGACCCCGCTCTGGCCCTCTCCCACTCTCTGCAGCCTCCGAGAGGGCTCCTCTCTTGGCTCCCCAGAAGTTTCTCTACCCTGGCAGGGAGGAGGGGTGCAGTGCTGTTGTTCCGGGGAGCCTAGGCTAGAAAGTGCCAGGTTCTGCACCTGGCACCTGACATCACCCCTTCCCCACAGAGACATCTCTGGCTCGGTCAAAATACTGCTCCCTCCCCAGACCCACCTTGGCTCAGTCCCCATTTCGGGAGGAGGGTACCAAACCTGGACCATGCCAACCAGGGCACCGCCCGCCCACCATATGTTTGCAATCAATAGGTCCCTTTTCTGGAAGCATTGAGGTGGGACTCTGGCCCTTTCGGCCTGGTGGTCCTCTCCAGTGGGCCAGGTCTTGGGGCCCATATGTGGTGCAGGCCCAGCTCCTAGGTATAGCCCAGTGGGCTTGCTGGGGACAGTCCCTGAGGAATGGCTGGAAGGAGTCAGCTCCTGGGGAGAAGTAGGAGCAGGCATGGCTTCCTTTGGCCTCAGGCATGTAGGAGCATTGCTGGGGCAGGGCAGGGTGCCCCCAGCTCGTACGATGGGGCAGCCAGGGGCTTGGAACCAGCCAACGGCCCACGAACTGAGACATCTCTCTGGAGTGTGGGGCTGGCACTCCCACATCTCCCGTGGTCCCCTCCTCACTCCTACCCTGGTAGCCGAGGGACCCCCGCCCCTCCCCACCTCCTCTCCTGCTGTCCCTTAGCGCCCTGACCCTCTGCGTCTCCCTGCTGCCCTCGAAGAGAATAACCTGCCCTCTGACCTCCCACGCTGCTGCTGCCTCTGCCGTCCCTTCGTGTGTTTTCCTCTCTCCCCTAATCCAGCTAATTTTCTGCCCTCCCCAGGTCTGATGACAGCGACTCCTCTTTGTCGGAGGTCCTGAGGTACACACAGAATGTCTCCCGTGTTGGCTCCCCAGCTCTCACTCTCTACTCCCCCCTCTCTGCCTCTTGCTGCACAGCCCCTCCCGCCTGCACACCCGAGTCCTCAGCATGCGGCCCTCCTCCCTGGCCTGCCTTTCCCCCCCCACCCCCCCTCCGCCGTGGTTCCTCCCTCTCAGGGTCGCTGCGTGGCCTCACACTGGCCGCGTGGCCTCACACTGGCCAGGCCCGGCTGGAGCTGGGCGCTTGGGGAGGGGTGCACAGTTGCTTGCCACAGGGGCTGTTCTCTTCTTGTCACCTGGGCAGGGAGGGGGAGAGCATGGGAGCCTGGGGTGGGCTGGGGCTGGGACTGAGCTCTGCGGAGGGCTTGGGGTGAGGGGCAGGGGTGCGGACAAGCCTGGGGGCCTGCGGGGCCCAGCTGGCTGGGTGCTGGTGGCTGCATCCTTGTGACTTGCTCAGCTTGTGCCGGTCAGGTGTGCTTTTTCAGCTCCTCTGGGAGGAGCATCAAGGGGGCGGGCCTGCTGCCCACATCCCCTGGGCACGTGGTCCAGGAGCGCCAGGAGACCTCCTCCCTTCCCAGCTTTTGGGATGAGCAGAGGACGGTTTCCCCAGCCACCCCAGCACAGCACCCCACCACGAGGAGTGGGTCGGCGTTGGGCTCAGAGCTGTCTCCAGCTCGCCCACGGTGCCCACTGCTCACCGCGCCTCCTGGCCTGGCTGTTGACGTTTTTGCAAACCTGCCTCCGGGCAGCAAGGCTTCGCCAGCACCAGAAGCTAGCCAGCCTCCCAGCCTCCTTCAGGGAGGAGGGTTAGCCTGGTGATGTACTTCCCACAGCAGTCCGGGCTCTTTCCACCGCCACACAGCAGGGTCAGAAGCGGGGAGCTGGGACAGCTCGGGGGTGGGTCACTTGCGTATGACATCTAGCTGACTGCTGGCCTGGCAGGGGGCCTGGCTGCGTCTGTGGGGGCTGTGAGAAGCACTGTGGGTGGGACACTGGTCATTTCAGCAGAGCGGAGGCCACAGAATCAGTGTCAGGAACAGCATTCTCTTTAGGAAAGAACTAGAACATATTTTCAGACCTGCACATAATTTGGCCAGGGCCTCATTCCAAAAGACCCTCACTGAGAAAAGATCATTCCCCAGAACCTCCAGGAGGCCGATATAACACAACCCTCCTGCTCGCTGAGGACAAGCCTCATTCTCCCTCCCAGAGTGTTCATGGGAAGCGAGGAGGTGCTTTCCCAGGTGCATATGGCCTCATTCCCTAGGGGACCCTGGACGTCCCTAACTCAGAGCTGAGCTGGGGGCCCCTAAAGGGACTTCGGCCTTTGTAAGTGACAGCCACGGGTCTGACCGTGCAGGTCCCGAAGGGGTTCGTGTGTTGGGGGAGTGTATGTGTGTGTCTCTGCCGGGGAGGGGCCAGCCCCAGAAGAAGTCGCCGACAGATGGATACACTGGCACGGAGGGGCTGGGAGGCTGACAGTCTGAGCATGCTCCCTCCCCGTACCCCTCGCCTCGCCCCTTCTTCCATCGCAGTAGCAGGGAGGAGCCAGCAGCTGCAGGAGCCAGTCCAGCCCTCAGGCCTCTGCCCTGCCTGGCTGGGGCCTGCGGGCACTTAGGGCTCAGGATCTGGGTCAGGCAGGCATCAGATGGGAGCTTCCACCACTCCCCCCCTCAACCCCTCCAGGCAGGGCCCGTGTCTCCTTCTTCCTGCCCGCAGCTTGCTCCCCCAGGCGTGCTCAGGGTGGTGACTGACAGGCCCTCCCCCACCTGCACAGCCTATTCCCAGCTCTCGGCATCGATGGCATTGGGCTGGAGTCTCCGGAGTCTCCTTCGTTAGGCCTTAGTCCCCTGTCGGTTCTGTTCCCCTCTTACCTGCGTACCTCACTCAACCTGGCCTCAGTCTCTCTGGCTGACAGGTGCACCCTTTCTCCCTCTCTCCTGGGAAGGGGCATCATCATCCCCGTTGGAGGAGCCAAGGGTGCGAGGACAGCCCCACTGCAGTGCGTCTCCATGGCCGAGGGCCACACCAAGCCCATCCTCTGCCTGGACGCCACAGACGAGCTACTGTTTACAGGATCCAAGGGTGGGTAGAACCCAGACTGGCCAGGTAAGGTTAGGGTCTCACCCATCCCTGCTTCCTGTGCCAGAGTGGGCTGTGAACACGAAAACACAGCCCCCTATGAGCTGAGGATGTGGGGTCGGCTTGTCTACTTGTCTCATGTCTCTTGCCTTGGCTCAAGGCTCCGCATCTTGGGTGCCCCTGACCAAGTCTTCCCTCGTAGCTGACCCTGGTGGCCCCATCCAGCACTTCCTTCTAAACCTCCCTCAGAAACTTCAGGAAGCTTTTCAGGTGCCCCACCTTGTCTGCTCATCCCAGTCCCCCAACACTACTACCCCCCACCGACATACACCCCAGCACTTCCAACTAAGAAATTCCTATGATCTTGGCAGCAGGACCCCACAAAGTCATGATTACTTAATCTCAGCAACAAAATCAGAAACATTTTATCAGCGGAAAAGACAGCTCTACAGTAGACGTGTTACTAGAAAGACAATTATTATCTTTATTTGCATGGCGAGAGGGGGCCGAGTTGTTAATCTGGGTGTGATTGATTCCAAGTTCTCCCCATAAGATGTGCTTGCCATTTGTTCATTAATTTTGTCAGCTATTAGCAGTTGTAGGAGGAGCACCAGAAGCTGAAGAATTTCATTTTAGCCCAGGGCACCTTGGCAACACACACAGAACTCTGGTGTCTGTACAGAGTTTGCTTGAGAAACCCTGGTCTAAAGTTCTGACCGACTCCTCTCCTGAGTTTCTCTGTGTGCATGCACGCCACGTGAGCCTGCCCGGGCGCATCTTTCTCTCCCTCAGACCTAGGGCTTCTCCCCCTAGATGTCTCTGGACCATCTCCCCCAACCGCCACAGTCCCTGTGTAGGGGGAGCGTGCGTGACCTGGCCCCTGCTAATTGGCATCTGCCCTCCCCATGGTTCTCTCCCTGTCCCTCACAGACCGCAGCTGTAAGATGTGGAACTTGGTCACGGGCCAGGAGATTGCGGCCCTAAAGGGCCACCCCAACAACGTGGTGTCCATCAAGTACTGCAGTCACTCCGGGCTTGTGTTCTCCGTGTCTACCTCCTACATCAAGGTGTGGGACATTCGGGACTCGGCCAAGTGCATTCGGACCCTCACGTAGGTACTCCCCGAGCTGGCTCTCAGCGGTGGGCTGGGTACCAATGCCCAACCCAGGTGACCTGCTCCGTACAGTCCAGTCCGGCTACACAGGCGCAGAGGTCCTTATGGGACTCGACCTGACTCTGAGGGACAAGGTGGGGTCCCTGGGCTGGGGGACAGCATCTGGGGCAGCAGCTTGGGTGAGCCTTTGGCCTGCTTGTCCCCCTTCCCCCCACCCCTGCTTCATCTTAGCCTCCCAGGCCCTGGCCCTGGGCTGTGCTGGGTATCCCCCTGTGAGTCCAAAAGGGAAGCTGGGAACCAGCGTGGGGCCAGCAGGCAGTGACAGACTCTGAAGCCACACTGGCCACCTGTCTGCGTAAATGGGCCACCCGAGCCGGTTCTCATTCCTGACCCTGACGGTCTCAGGCGGACGGACATGTGGGGGATGGAAGTGAGACCAGGGCCCCTGCAGAATGAAACTGTTTCCTAGCAGGAGCCATGCTTCATCCTGATGTTTCCATGATAAGCGATCATCGGTTCTTTAACTTGATCCTCAAAAAAGAGTAAACACAGGGGGTTTTGAGGGCGGTGAAACTCCTCTGACACTGTAATGGTGGATATGGGTCACTACGCGTTTGTCCAGGCCCATGGAGCATACAGCATGAGCGAGCCCCCATGTCACCTGCGACCCGCAGCGATGATGACGTGTCAGGGTGGCCTCACCAGCTGTAACAAACGCCCCCCTCTGGTGGGGATGGCGATGGTGGGGGAGGCTGTGGGGCCCCCTCAGTTTTGCTGTGATCCTGTAACTGCTCTAAAAAAGGAGTCTTTTATTTTTATTTTTTTTAAAGATTTTATTTATTTATTTGACAGAGAGAGAGATCACAAGTAGGCAGACAGGCAGGCAGAGGGAGAGGGAGAAGCAGGCTCCCTGC